TAAAATACAATCTGATAATGCCACTCTCCTATTTAAAATCCCATAAAGTGGGGCCTGAAGATAAAGCTTAAGTACCTCAACATGAATTCCAAGGCCTTCTGTAGTCAGACACCCTACTCCCCATAACTTCTGCAACGTTCTCCCTCACTACTCCCTACCGGCTTCCAGTTGCCCTCCCTTGCCTCTCTCACCACACGCACATCAGGCTCAGCCTGTACTATCGTGCAGCTCCTGACATGTTCCTGTCTCGTGGCCTCCAAGCTTTGTTCAGGCTGCTCCATCAGCATGGCCCACCCCCGCCCCAATCAAGCCCTCTCCTTGGCTAATGTCTACCCATATTTTAGAGGTCTTAATTTAGATGCCCCTTCTTCTGGAAGACCCTCTCCTGAGTCCCCATTTTTTACTAAATGTGTCTTCCAGGTGCTGTCTTGGAAGCACCTTGCCATTAATTAAACCTATTGTTTAATTAGGCACATTTTTGCCATTAATTAAACCTATTGTTCCTTTCTGCTTCCATTTTCCTTGTGTCCTGTGCCCCTGCAGTGGCTGTGGGCATTCATTGATCCAGTTAAAGACACTGAGTTAGAGATATATTTGGGTTAGAGGATGTATTTATGTCATTCACAGTCAGTTTGTACTGAACTTAATTGAGAGTTTAATTGTTGAGCATTTCCACCAGAATATAAATTCTCTAAGGACAGAGTCCATGATTAGTTTGTCCAATATTGTATCTCTAGTGCTCCGTATATGAATGAGTGGAGGCTAGAAAGATATATAAAAAAATAGTACATTGCAAAAGTCTGGATGACCTTCACGAGGTAAAAACACCTCTCTCTCTGTGTCTCTGTCTATGTCTCTGTCTGTCACATAGATCAAGTTATTCCCCTCCACTTCTTGATGTTCTTAGATACTACTTGATCCTATTAGGGATGGCCCCAGTAGAAGTGAGCAGATGTTTCATAAGTTTCTGTAGAAGAGGGGAGAGCTGCAGGTGTCTATGGCAGTGCTATTTCTTTGACTTTGGGACTTAACTGCGCTCCAGGCTAGTGGGCGGCTATCCACCTTACTTTGGGACTGAGAATGAACTTACTTGTGTGACATAAGGTGAGGGATTTGTCTTTCATCTTCAAATGGGAAAGCAAAGTATGCCTAATATTCCCATGTATTCATAACTGTAAATAGTTTTGTGATTTTTCCAACTAAGATCAGATTTTGATAAGGGGAAGGAAATCACAGAAAATGCTGGGTGGCAATAGGACTCTGGGAGTATCCAAACCTGCTTAGATGGTGTTTTTACCTAAATGAGGAATATCTGAGAAATTGTCACATCTGCCTCAAGTGTACAGGTGGGTCTGGACTGCAAATTCTATAATGTTCCAATAGCCTCTGAACTTGTGTGGAGAAGTCTGACATTTCTAAAGAATTAAGTATCTCTGATATAAAATAAGGTGTCATGTACATCAAACTGCTCTCAGGTGGATTGTTCACCTTCTTTTCTCTTTGGATCCATGGCATAATAAATCAAAAGGAGGGAGGCCCAGTATCTACTGGTCCCCTGAGTAGAGGTGAATTTACTGTGAAATGATGGCTGTTGGGATCCAGGCTCCCTTATTTACTTGCGTCCTAGCGATGTATTTATAAGGTCATTGCAAATGTGCAGAAGACATTTCAATTATAATATTAACTAAGCCTATAATTCCTTTCCACTTCTATTTTCCTTGTGTTCGGTGCCCCTGCAGTGGCTATGGACATTTATGGATCCAGTTAAAGAGAAGTTGAGTTAGAGATATATTTGGGTTAGAGGATGTATCTATGTCATTCACAGTCAGCATCTGTACTAATTTAAGTTGCTGCTCTTTTGAGGTAACAATGGTTTCCAGGACTATTTCTACGAATGACCATGTCAATTCCTTAGGACAAGACACCACCACCAAGTCAAAATGGTAACTAAGGGTTCCTTTAATAGTTGGGGGGGGGGTCCAATTTACCAAACTTCTTTAATATACCTAACCTATTTTACTCATTTATGTGTGTTATGTAGCTTGCTCTTTTTTTGTAGGCAAATAAAAATGTAAAAAGACATGTTATGTAAAGAAATTTCTTAATATTTTCATTAATAAGTTAATGAAGACATAAAGCTTCTTTGGTTTATTTGGGTTTTCTAGTATGTGCATCTCTTTAAAAGCCTGGTAAGAAATAAAGGGACAGAAACAGTAAACATCCCAGAGACATTAAATTCTTCCCAGTTTTTCTCAACACTTTACAATTTCTTTACTGCTTTGATTGGTGAAAATGATGACTGGAAAGTTTCATATGTCCTGGAGTTCCACTATCTTACGCTGTAATTTCTTTATGTTTTTCTGTACTTTATGTTTCTCTAAATCCATCTTTGTTTTCTGTATTTGTTGGAGGGAGTTGAGGGAGTCATGAACCGATTTGAATCCTGAAAGAGATTATGAGAAGGTATACGTAAACAATGTATCCAAATATATATTTTAAAAAAGTTGCTAATGAGCAATCCTGCCATATTTGATCATCATTTAATTCAAAGCATTTTAAATTCTCTTAAGATTGGTCTAAAAATGTAGAATAATATATTTCTTGTATGTTATAAAGATGCATTATTAGCAGTAATGTTTCAACTTAATGTGGCTTCACTGTGAGAATTAATTCTTCTCCTTCCCCCAAATATATTGCATAACAAAATAATTCTGTATTTCAAGGGAAAAATATTTTCCTCTTTATATTTTGATACATTTGCTGAAGTAACTGCCCAGCTAAAGTCACCTTTCTTTATCTGTACTTTGACAAAAGGTTTTGGGGATTTCTCTCTCTCTCTCTCTCTCCCCCTCCTTCTCTTCTTTAAATATTTTTATTACCAACTTGAAGGTTAACATCACAGATGAGACTTTAAATCTTCTCTGGAAGTGACCTGTGTGGGGGAGACTAAAGAGTAGCCACTCTCTGCTCCTCACTTCCCAGCACTTCACATCTCTTGCATCATCTAGTCACACAGGACTGCAGACCGACCAGGCCTCAAGCTTCTTAAGAAAGCTATTTCCTATTCAGAGGGGCCTTTCACAAGTCATTTCTCAGCACATTTATTATTATTTTTAAAAGATTTATTTTATTTATGCATACAAGAACTGGGGCGTAAGCCAGAGGTGCAGGGGTGAGAGGATTCACCAGAGACAGAGTGTGGAGCAGAACAGGTGGATCTACTGAAATACACTCTGAGGGGAGCAGCCCGTGAGACAGGAGAGGTCTGCTGCGCCATGTGGGTCAGTTCCCTGGCCAGGAATCGAACTCATGCCATAGTGGCTGGCGACAGCTTGATAGTGCTGAGCTGAGACTTTAGCCCCTTGTGCCACCAGGGAGGTCCCTCAGCACATTTTTTATTAAAGGCATTAAAGAAAGAACACACCATTAGTTTGGAGTCCTGTTTCTTAAACTCCCACTTTACAAAATGCAGAAACATGTAGATTGCAAATTTCTCTTTCCATCATCTTGGGTTTGTACTATTGGAATGAAAAAATTAAATCTCCAATACTTAATTAGAAAGAAGAGAATTACATTTGGAACACTATTCTTGAGCAGATAACTTGTTATTTTGATTTGAAGTTGAGGGGTGGAGTGGTGCCAGTCAGCTTTCCAGGCAGCAAACTTTACTTATGTGCAAGGACCATCTGACACAGAGAGACCAATGGCTTCTCAAGGCCAAAATTTGGAAGATTCTCATGATTTTTTTCTGAGGTCTAGAGGACAGAAAATGAATTGGGATTTTCTCTACTAAAGGAACCTCTGATTCCTGGGGAATTCTTTCAGAGTTATCACTTGGGGCAGATGGCTGCTCCCCAGCACCTAACCCACATCCTTTCCTTTGACAAATTAGATGAGCCTTTCAAATTAATCCTCTTTGATGTTAGCTCAGCTTGACACTGCTGCCATTAGCCTCCTTAAGAAGAAAAGGAGTCATTATAACAAACTCTATTAATTCATCTCTCCTTCTCATTTCTAAAGGTCAGGTATCCAGTCTGACATCTGTCCAGGCTCATTATCTGAAGTTCAGTGAGAGGGGCATTTGATTTGGGCACCTAATTTCATGATCTACCCATAAGTTAGGTCTTGGTGATCTCCAAGAAGATTCCAAGTTAAGGATTCTAGGACCTTAGAGAGTAAAAAATGTCTCACAGCAAAGGCAGACTGACACTGCCGAGTGGGAATGTGAAGCCTGATCTTATTTCCCTACCTCTTGGTGGTATGCTGGCATTCTATGGGATATTTAGAAAAGTCAGGCTAAATACTGAAGGACATCACTGATGACAAGATTGATCCCTGCCAGTAGCTCCAAGAAGAAAACTCTGAGGAATTGAATAGACAAAGATAAGGACAATTATTTAGAAACAAAATTTCTGCTCACCGGATTGATATTCATTCTGCATTTTCTCTAATTCACCCCAGATGAGTTTTTCCAGTTGATTCATCTTTTTGGACAGTTTATTTTCTATGTTCTTTGCTTTATTTAGTTCTGCTTCCTGTTTCTGTATATTTATAAAATTCTCTAATTTGCTTGAAAGCTTCTGTAATTTTTCTTCCATTTTATTTTCAGACTTTTCCTATAAAAGATAGTGTGTAGTAAAACTCTGCAGAAGAAAAAAACTATGTGGACTTTTATTTCAGCCTAGAGAGATTTTTTTTTTAACAAATTACCTCTTCAATGTTAAGACATTAAACAAGTAAATTCAAACAGTTGTCTTGTATCTAAATCTGTATTCACAGGTGTAAGAATTCCCCACTTTGCTTGGCCTTGTTCATTTGTTTCTAGAATTCTTTATGTTAAGGGAGCAAAGAAAAGAAGGGCTGTGATCTTGCTGCAATGCCTTGAAGTTTTGGTTTTGGTCTAGTGCTTAAACAAGTGTAGCCAGAGGTGTTTTAAAGAACTCTTGACCTGGGCTCCTTAGACATGTTCCTGGGTGTTAAGTGATCTTATTCCCTCGAGCCTCATCGCTCAATGTGTGTAGACTTCAGTTGGAATAATGATTCTCCACCTCTGCTGTCTAGAATTACCTGGACTATCCTCCACACTCAGAGATCCTGAGAAGATTGGTCTAGGATGGAGGACAGGAATGATCTAGTTACAACCTCTCAAGGTGATTCTAAGGTGCACTGGCACCGAAGGTGCAATGGCTGCCTGAGGCTTCCCAGCACCTTGTAATTCTCCCCAGGGGATTTGGTGCAGGATCTGGGTGAGATTGGCACGGTCCCTTTGGTCCTGCTTGCTCTGGCCCTGCCTGCTTCAGGAAAGACTCTAGTCTCTCTGTCCCTTGTGGTGGGAGACTTTTGCCTACAAGTGACCCAGTGTTCATCTCAGGCTCCTTCTACCTGGTGGAAGAGTCAGCCTGAATCTAGCAAAGAGCTAGTAGGTCCTCTGGGCTATAGATCTGACCACACACAATTCGATAGCTTTATCAGTGATAAAGTTGTGTGTTCGTGTTCAGCTCTAGGACTCCTCTGGTAGGGAGGGGGGAGGGATATATTTTACTTGTCCGCCTACAGTCCCTCTACTCAAATTCCAGACACATCTTTTGAGTCCTGCAAGGCTGGCAGCTACTGATGGCTGCTGTGCTGGTTGGGCTGGGAGAAAGGAGGTCTGTGAGCAATAGACACCCATATATCTGGGTAGTCTGACTCCAAAGCTGCCGGGTTTCTCTACCAGATCTGATTTAGAAAAGAAGTTTTGAAAACCTCTGATATACTGAAGGATCTCCAGGGAGTTATATAACTTGTCTAAAGCAGAGGTTGTCAACATTATGATATCTAAGCATCACCCAGGGAGTTTGTCTGGAAGCACTGATTCCTGGGGAGGCCCCAGAGGAGCTGATGCCTCAGCTGTGGGTGGGCTCAGGAGTCTGTATTTTAAAAAAAACTTCAGGTTCTGTTGGCACAGGTAGAGGACACTCTGAGAAATATGGGTTCACAGACTTGGGAGGATGGGAACCAGCAAACAGGGCCAGAAGCTAGGTCTCTGGATTTCTACTCTGCACTAAAACCAAACCAAACCAAACCACAACACAAGCGAGTTACATGGGGAAGATTAAGATGAACGTCGTCTAAGTGCCTCTGCCGAGACGTTCCCCCATCACGAGCGTCAGAGCGTGCTCAGCAGCCGTCTCCTCGGTGGGTAACGGGAGCTCCTTACCAGCTTCTCCTGAAGGAGTTTCAGACAGTGATTTATATGGTCGAGGTGGTCTTTTTCATATTTGATGAAGCGATTTTCTGTCCATTTTTGAAGGTTTTCAACTTCCTCACAGAGATTACTTGAAAGTGAATTAAATCTAAGGGGGGAAATAGGATGTTCTACTTTAATAAGTAAATTGAAATATAAAACCAAAACTTCACATTGAGAATGTCTGCAGTCCTTTCAGAGGGCGAGAATCAAAATGGCTGGCAGTTATGGGGTGTTCAGCCAGAGTTCAGCCCAGCTGCAGCCAACACCCTGCTGCACACACAACCTAAAAAAACATAATACACACAGTGAAGAGACAGAGCCACTCAGAACTGCATGTGTTATCTATGCAGACTTCCTCTCTGTGTGTGAAGAAAGACTTAGGTAAGTCACTCAGAGTGAGGAGTATTGCTCTGTGGTAGGGGTGGGCAAACTCCTTTTGTACTCCCAGGTTGTCATCTCTGTCTCAGGTGAAATATTCAGAAAAATTCCCCATTGCCAACAATGGGTGTCTGTGAGCGGATTCTTTGGGGAGAGGCTTGCAGAGGTACTGAGTTACTCATGTGGGCACAAACAGAAATACTAGGCAGAGGTGCAGGAAGGGGCTGCTGATATGCCATAAAAGTATTAAATAACATTAAATGATTTTAAAAAATGGAAGTGGATGTATGACAGAGATTTGAAAAGTCACCGTAGAGAGGTTGAGGGTTTGAGCAGACATCTGAAATACCAGAGAAATATGGGACTGAGAAGAGGTGGAATGAATGAAGAGACTGGTTGGATAGGTGTCAATTTCAAATTTCCTCTTAAAGTAGGAGGAATATTAGATGGGCAGGAACAATGCTTGCTTTTAAAATTATTCAGGCTACAATGTGGGGATGGGTTGGAATAACATTTGCTGTAACATTTTCAGAAAAAAATTATATGCAAATAGTTTGGATATTTATGATTGGAAATGGCTAAGATGTGCTGCACATCAATAGCATGTATATGTATAGTTCTTCTATACATATAAAGTTTTTGGTATATGTGTATAAAGTGTTTGGACTAATGGTTGGCAAAGAAAAGTTATGTGCAGGCATTTTCATTTTTTAATTAGACCAGGGGTCATTTAGCAATGTTGGGGGACATTTTTGGTTGTCCCAAATAGGAGTTGCTACTGAGTAGCATGAGGAGAGTCCAGGGATCCTGCTAGATATCCTGTAACCCACAGCACAGCCCCACAATGAAGAATTCCCCAGCCAATAGTGCCAAGACTGCTAATAGTGCCAAGACTGTGAACCATAGATATAGAAAATAAAATGAAGGAATGGGAAATGCAAATTAATTTTCCAATAGCTACATTTGTTATATCAGAGTTAGATTTTGATCTCTACCTCTCTGAATAACCACAGATTACTTTGGATAGAGTCGGTGATATTTTTCACATAAAAAGCATTACTTGATTCAGGCCAGGACCATAACAAAGAAGATCTATTTGGTTGCTCTTCTTTTGCTTAATCTAATCTTGTGTCCAAACATCTGTGCTACTGACTCACGGCTATTGGCTCTCAGACAGATAAACCCCTAGCTGATAAGTGGGCAACCTCATTTTAGCCAACTGTTTCCACTGTCTGGAATACTTTTCCTTAGTATACGCAATGACTCTTGCCTCGTTTCATTCAGATTTATATTCAAACACCACCTTAGTACAGAAGCTTGCTATTTTTGACCACAAGGAAAAAAAAAGTCCTATTTTCTCCCTGATACCCCCTATTTCCCTCCCCTGTTTAATTCTTCTCCAAAATGCTTATCGCCATATGATATATACTAATGTGTATGCTGTTTTCGCCACTAGACCCTAAGCTCCATGACAGCAAGTGTTTTGCTCTGTTCCTGGCTCTGAACAATGCCTGAAATATAGAACCTGCTGAATAAATAGTTGTTGAAAACATGACTCACGCTTCCACCTTTACTAGGGTTGTTCACAAATAACAAATCATGAAATTCTCAAGTGATTCAAAGACCTAATTTTTAATTAGGTGATTCAAAGACCTAATTTTTAATTTTTATCTTCTTTTCCCTTTCTATGCTAGAAACAATATATAGTGATGGTTAAGGGGACAGAAAATCCCCACATAACTCAGAGGTAGCTTTATAATTCAGAATTCAGCCTTCATTGCTCATTTCTAACTGTGTAAATAAATGAGAGAAGTTACTTTCATCACTGATACAAAATTAACATCACTCTGAATTCAACGAATCATTAAATGTGCCCAAGAAATATCTCTGGAAGAGCGTATTGGTTAATGAAATTCTGGATTAAGATAAAGCCATAAAGGCTGAATTACTATTTACGATCCTTTTATTAGGAGGTTTTGCCTGATAGTTAACTTGCTTTTTCTTTCCTTTATCTCAGAGCACAAAAGTCAGACTTAAATTATTTATGGCTAGAGAACTCCTAGGATAATAAGATATGGGCTGTTTTTGTTTTATTTGAAATTTTTATACCAGTGGAATCAGGTTAAAATACACACCAATGGCAATTATAGGGGAGAAAGTTACAAAAGGGTAAAAGAGAATTTCTAAGTTTATACCTATGTGCCTTGCACTAATTTCTTAATGTTCTGTGATTTCTAATCAGTGACACTAATTAAAAGCAATTCCAACTCCACTTTGATAGGCAATCTTGGCTCTTGGTGATTTCTAATTGTACTTGAACTTAAATCCCAATACCTTCATACCCTCCCATCTCTTTTTTTAAAGATTTATTTTATGGGCCTCCCGGTGGTGCAGCGGGTTGAGTGCCTCACAGTGGGGCTGTCTGCAGCCTCTGCAGCATGAGTTTGATTCCCAGCTGGCCAGGGAGATAAAGAACTGGGGTACAGTCCAGAAGTGCGGGACGTGAGAGGATTCACCAGAGACTTGAGTGGGGAGCAGAACAGGCGGATCTACTGAAATACACTGCTGAGGGGAGCAGCAGGCAAGATAGGAGAGGTCTGTTGTGCCATGTGAGTTAGCTCCCTGGTTGGAGATCTAACTCATGCCTCAGCACTTGGCCATAGCTTGATACCTGATACCGCTGAGACTTAAATCCCTGCGCCACAAGGGAGGACTCTATCTTCTATTATATCCAGGGGATGTGATCTTTCCAATTTCTAAAATAATGAGTCAGAGACTTCCTAGCTGTTTAGCTTTGAAAATTATTTACCACCATAACTATGATTTTGGATATTCTAAAACACAACTTCACATGAGTGTTAAAAAATTTGCTCATTCATTAATTGGCTTCTATTTATGTCTAGATGTACTGGGTGCTGAGGATAAAAAGATGAATAAGAGAAGTCCTTGTATTGGATAGTTTGTAACTTTTTACTGTGGTAGTGTTTTCAAAGTGTGTGATGAGATTTGAGTTTATGCATTTGTTTCACTGACCAAATACTTGTTCTTTTTTTATGAATCTATCAATTAAATGGTTGCAGGAGCAAGAGCTATCTAGGTAGTGACTAGTAGATGTTATCCTGCCATGCCCTTGATAAAAGACAGTTATATTTCATGATTCCCAACTTTTGCTCTAGAAGCAGTAAATTTTTGGCTTAGACCATAATTTCACTGAACATCTGACAAGACCCTTCCAGAAAGGGGAGACTCAGTGAAGATTTCGGATGACAGAACCTGTGTTTCTCTTTACAAGCTCAAGACAACATTGTAGGTTTTAAGTTCAATATAAAATATGTTTAGTTGACTATTAACCTTGAATTTTGTTAACATTTCTAAATGGGAAACTTTCTCAATTAAAATTACCTTTAATATTATTAAAATGAGTCTAATCTCTTTGTTCAGAGACAATAATTTCTTAAAGAAAAAAAGAAAAGAACTCTGAACTCCATTCACTTTGATTTGAGAAAAGACTCTGGGGAGAAAAAACCATCCCTGCTTACCTACTTTCTCTTTGAGGAAAAAAATACTTGCAATATATATCTCAATCAAAGGGTTAGTCTTATTAATGTGAAGGAATCCTTCAAATTGATAAGAAAATAATGAAAATCACAGTACAAAATTTGAGACACAGTAAAGATCGGCAATCTGCAGAAAAGGGAATTCAAATGGTGAATGGAATGCAAATGAAAACAAGAGATGCATGCATTTCACCCTTTAATTGGCAAATATTAGACAGAGACAGTGTTGGCAAGAATGCAGAGAATCTTAAACATTGCTGGTAGTGGTGAAAATTATTACAACATATTTAGCAAGAAATTTATGAAAATGAAGAAATACCTGAAACTCTTTACCTAGGAATCTTGCATATAGAGATAAAAGCACCTGTTTCCAGGGTCATCTAAGGATGTATACATAAAATTTTTTTGGTTTGTGGTAGCTATAACCTAATAAGAGTTTATTTATCAGACATATAAAAGGTTGATTACTGCATATCTGTAAGTTAAATTATTATACAACTATGAAAAATAATATTAGAATAATATTCATTAATCTGGAGAGACATGCAAGATGCAATATCCAAAAAATCAATTATTGAGTAATAGTGTATAGGATTTATTTTTAAAACCCGTGTTCTCTCCATCCATATAATGTAGAATATCCTTTTCCTTGTTCCATATTTATATTAACATTTATATATCATTGATGTTGCTTATATTAGGAAACTGAGATGGTGACCTCTTTTTTCATTTTTGTTTTATTTTGCCTGCTATCTTGAATGCATTCTATTTTTTCATAAAAAATCAGTGGAGAGAAATTTTATATTTAAGAGTCAAGTGTGTGATTAAATGAATCATTACAGCTCACAATTTATTTATTTATTAAATGAATCATTAGAGCTCACAATTTATTTCCTCAGGTTGTTACCTATATAATACTAGTGGGATTTTAAAGCTTCATTATTTTAAGTGAGAAAAAGACTGAAGTTTATACTTTAACAAAAGTGTCCAGATTCAGATTAACTATTAAGACGATTTGCTTCTAAGTCAATTTCCCACAGGACTGAAGATGGAAAAAAGAATCACCATCATGGTCAATGTCAACATCATTAATATCACCATCATCATCATCACCATCACAGCATCATCACTAAGCAGTTAGCCCTAGATCTCAAATATCCTCTTTCTCCCTCTTTTTTATGCTAATATATTTCCTCCTTTAAAACAGTATTCCATTTCAGATTTTAAGTACTTTTCCTCCCCCAATGAAACCAATTCTTAAACTGTATTTCTAAAACAGTTTACTTTTATACTTCTCCTTTGGACACTTTTTCTTAATTGTTAAGTAAAGGGATTTGATCACTCACCACATGGATACTTGCTGAGCATTATCATTGTGTTAGAATTTAAGAACCTAGATATTCTTTATTAGAGTACGAAGAAACTGGGTATTTTCTGTTTATTCAAGACACCTACTTCTCTGGTCTTTAGTGATTATTATTTTCATCAACTTCTAGGACACACATCTTTCCCATCTTAACATGTCTGAAATCAGGTGCTATCCTGAAATGATGGTGGCCATGGTTTAATTAGTAGCTTCATGTCTTAGAGGTACAAAAATATAATAGTACATCTGATAGTCAATGGCATTTAGGTATAATAAAATATGGTAAAGATAGAGAAATTTGGAGAAAACAGAATTATCAGAAAACTGGATTTGACCAAGGCATTAACCCCAAGTGATACTGGACAGGGAGGAAAAAGAAGAAAGGCTGAAAAGACAGTAAGGTTGCATGATCCAAGTAACTAGAATTTTCCTTTCTTTGCTCCACACTTCCTGGGACATGTGGTTATTTAAACAAGAAAAGAATATTGATAATAAGTAGGCAGAAATATGAGTATTTGTGGAGTCTTGTTTTCTTTACTGCTTTCTTTTATTGCATAGAGGAAAAATTCAGTTTAAGATGAAATAGAGACCAGTCTTTAAAAGGGGTGTATATGAAGGAGCAAATAGAGGATCTTAGAGGAATCTTAAAAGAACAGTTTGTCAAAATTATTTGATAATCTTGTGGAATAGATGTATCTTCAATAATACTTTGTGTAGAAGTATTTTAAGGGCCTCCCCAGTGGCGCAGTGGTTGAGCGCTGGGTTGCAAAGCTGCCCGCGGCCTCTGCAGCGCCGGTTCGATCCCCGGCTGTGCGTGCAGACCTCTCCTGCTGCCCGCTGCTCCCCTCAGCAGTGTACTTGGGTCCTTCTGCCTGCTCTGTTCCCCACCCTGGCTCTGGTGAATTCTCTCACCCTCCCGAGCTTCTGACTGTACCCAGTGCTTGTATAAATAAATAAATCTTTAAAAAAAAAAGTATTTTAATATGCAACTGTTGATAAGATAAAATTACTGTTCTTTTACTGTTATTTTATTTAAAAGGTTAGAATGAGTATATCAATTCAATAGAGCTATTATGCAAACAAAGGGAATGACAAGATTGATACTGATATTTCTTTTATTATGAATATTATATAAGTTATGTTAGTGCAGAATTCTCTTTGCATCAGCTTGTTGCTTTATTTCTTGGCCAAGTTCATATTCCTGGGAAAAGTATTTTAATGCCAACTCTTTCATGAGGCAAAACCCTTTGAAATGCATTTAACAGAATTAAAAATCTTCCATTCACTTACTTGAATTCCAAAAGGTTTATTTCGTGGCGATAATCTCCCTGGACCATCTTTACATTTGAGGCTTGCTCAGAACTGGAAGCCTCTATCTTGCCTAAGAGCTGCATTACCTAATAAAAGTACAAAACGGAGCTTTTTGTGTGTGTATGAAGAACAACCACTAGACTTAGAACAGTAATTACTCTGTATTCCTACAGGAGCTGGGAAATTGACTTGAGCCTAAAGCATGTTTGCATTTGAAAATATTTTGTAAAGGAATGATTCAACAGCTATAGAGTGATCTTCAGGGAAAGAGTAATAGAATAATAATTAGGGCAATAGTAACAGACTTGCTGTCTATAGTATTCTTCTTAATAATAGGATACCTAATGATAAAACAAAAACTCACTACTGACATGATAAACATAGTTTATCAAAATTACCTTTGTTATATATTTATTTTCTAACTCCATGGTGAACAATGTAAGCCACAAGTAGGTTCAGAGCCTAAAACTGGCCTAAGATTAGGCCTCAGGAACTTCTAGGTTAGGATTCTGACATAAGCACAAGTGAATCCCAAGTGAAATGATGTAGGGCATGGAAGAAGAGGGAAAAACAAGTTCCGGTCCTGGAGGTTAGGATAAGGACACCTTCTCCATTGGCAGAAACATTCAGGCATTTTCTTTAATAAAAGGACTGGATTAGAAAATAGAGGCAGAATCATAACTCATAATCATACCCAAATTAATCACTGTCAAAGGGAATGGAAGTATGTGATTGGATTTGACCAAAAAGATTTCAGCTCTTGAGATAGTCAAATGGAGGCGGGTGGATAGTTAACAAAATTGGAGTTTTCTTAAAAAAAAACCACAGAGATGAATAATGGAAAGGTTTGAATAGATAACTGTTGAGTGGGTAACCAATAGCACCTGAATGGCGGTTTATAGGAGGTACACTTAAAAGCAGAACTGCTATCAATAACATGACAGGCAAATACATACCTGGCAAAAACAAAGGAAAAGAAAGCAAGGCAGAGAAATACTGTTAGAGAGACTATTGTTCAAAGCAAAATACATTAAGTGGACTTTCATAGATGATCATCTTTTTATAGATGAAAAAGTAAAATCCATAGTGAAAAATAGTTTTGAATGCTTATTTGCCTTCCATATTGAACTGTGAAGACACAACTGAGGAATTACAAAGGTAAACTAATAGAGACAATATTAGTGATTTTTAATTTCTCTTCACTCTTTCCTGGTCAAATAAGTAAAATATAAGAACATAGGAGGATATGAAAAATACTGTTTATTTAGTAGGCTTATATCGCAAACATTCTAACTTCCAAACAGCAATGTTCCTTCCCAGTGCCCACTGAGCGTTCACAACAACTAAACACATAGGAGACTATAAAGGAAACCTCAATTTATTCCAAATAGCAGGAAAAGCACAGATCATAACTTTAACCACATTGTGCTAAAACTAGAAATTAGTGTGAAAGGTATAAAGAAACAAGAACTTAACCATTTGAGTAACAAACCTTTTAAATTCTATTTTTTTTTTAAGATTTTATTTTTATTTATCTATACAAGCACTGGGCACAGTCAGAAGTGTGGGAGGGTGAGAGAACCCACCAGAGTCAGAGCGGAGAGCAGAGCAGGCAGACTGACCAAGTACACTGCTGAGGGGAGCAGCGGGTGGCAGGAGAGGTCTGCGCGCCATGTGGGACCCTCACCTGGTGGCCGGGGATAGAACCGGTGCTGCAGAGGCTGCGGGCAGCTTCACAACCCAGGGCTCAACCGCTGTGCCACTGGGGAGGCCCTAAATTCTTTTTTTAATTTCAGTGTTGGACATGAAAATTTTCACATGAAAAACAGAGGATCATAATTGGCTGTGACCACATGTCTGGACATGCTTCACACTGACTGCTCCCAGCCATGTCTGAGCAGCTATCCTTTGATGAATGACACTGGGACAAGGAACTTAAAACTTAGTTAGGATGGCACTGCTGTTTAAGATCTGCTGTCTTTTTCATAAAAATCAGGCCATATTGCTGACTCTTTGCTTTCTTCATTTCCAGATCCCTCTAGTTTTTCCCCTCAATAAATCTCTTACACATCTCTACAAGTATCAGAGAGTAAATCTACTCTCTAATCACAATTTATATAACAAAGGATAATGAGAATATTTCATATCAAGTAGACACAGCCACATCTATAATCAGAAATAAATTTGTGGAACTTAATTTTTTCACAATTATACAAGACAGTATGAAGCTATGCAGACTAACCATTTATTTCACAAAGTTATAAAAAGAATGAGAAACCAAGCAAAGGAAAGCAGGATGAAGGGGCCCTACAAGGAGCTCATACAATTCAAGAAGAAAATAATTCAATCAAGAGTGGACAGAGCTAAATAGCACTTCTCCAAAGAAGACATACAGATGGTCAATAGGCCCATGTAAAAATACTGATCATCACTTATCATTAAGGAAATGTAAATCAAAACCACATCGAGATGCCACCTCACTGCCATTAGACTGGGCCACATTGAAAGGCCAGAAGCTCATACACTGTTGGTGGGAATGTAGACTGGTCCAGCCCCTATTGAAACAGTATGAAAGCTTCTCAAAATATTAAAGATAGATCTACCATATGATGCAAAATTCCTACTCCTAGATATCTACCCACAGAATGCAAAAACACTAATTCAAAAGGATATAAGTATTCCTATGTTCATTGTAGTACCACTTACAATAATCATTATGGGAACCTAAGTACCTAAGGACAGATGAATATATTAAGAAGATATGGTATGATACACACAACATGAATGGGGCTATATAAGTTGTGCCAAACAAAATAAGTTACAAAGAGAAAGTCAAATAGTCGATGGTTCCACTCATGTGGAATACACAGAAACAAAACAAAAGGTCAGACAAAACCAATCCTAAAACAAACCTTAGAAATCTGACCATAAAATTGAGGGTACTGGAGGGAGAGGGAGCCAGGGTGGACAACAAAGTGTGTATGGGGTCAAACAAACTGGTAGAGGACTATAGGTGCCTTCGTGGTGGGTTTGGTAAAAGCCTGACATAGGGCAAGATCTTTCAAAATAACTTTTGAGCCTGCTATGCCACTTCTGGGTATTTCTCCTGTGGTCATACTTACATACACACAAAATGATGTAAGTGTAATATTAAACTCTGCAGCACTGTTTGAAAGAGCAAAATATTGAAACATCCATTGCCCAGAGGCAGACTAATGAACTACCATAGACAGAGAAAGAGTGTGCAGTTGTAGAAAAGAATGAGGAAGTTCTCTATGTAGTGCTATCCTGATACGGAGGAGCTTCAGGATATATTTGTGTAGTCAAAAAAACAAACAAGTACATGATAATTATATATATATAATTTAACTATATATGTTATATATGTATATATTATACTATCTTTGTGTAATATAAAGGGAAATACGAATATATATTTATTTGCTTGTATATGCCTAAAGGCATACTGAAAAGGATCCACAAGAGACTAATGAAAATAACAGGGGCATGAAAGAATGAGATGATTTGTGACAGAAATTGGAGTCAAAATTCTCAAGGCATACTATCTTCTGTTCCTTTGATTTTTGGACTATATGAATATGTTGCCTTGGAAGAAAATGCCAAGATGAGAGACAGACACTACAGCCCCACTTCACTTTTGAAATTAGATGCAAAATCAAATATTGTGCAATGACTGCACTGAAATGCAGAAAATGCAAGAATGTTTCTGAATTGGGAAATGTATTAACATAGCACAGGAGGAAGCCAAAGACATAAACACCCAAACCAAAAACAACCAAATGGGCACTCTTTGAGGTCTAAAAGGCATTTTATAAAATTAATGTTTAGTCCAAATAAAAAATAAGTTGGAATGGATGGAAACTTCCTTATCATGATTAAAATGCATCAAACCAATAGCCAACAGCAAAAACAAAGACATTCCCAACATAATTAAGAGCCATATAAGCTGTCCCCTGTGCCTTTTATTTAACAGAGCTCTCTTGAAGTTCTGGTTAAGGCCTTAAGAAATAGGTAATAAGGATTTAAATGAGAAAACCAGAGGTAAAATTGTCATGATTCAATTACTATGATTTCATACCTTGACAAATGAAGAGAATCAACTAATAAACTATTAGAGCTTATTTGATGGGTACATGGAGGGGTGGACAAGAGTTACCCAATGAGACTGAGATAAAACAATGTGTCCCTGTTTACATTTTGCTTGTGGCTCCCATGGACAAATAATCAAGCACCAAACTGTCATGTCCCACAATTCCCCAAGGATGTCTACTTTGTTCTGTCCAGATAACTCCCGAAGAGATGTGTTTGTTTCACAAAGTAGGGCACAGGAGAGTTTGTGTGGACTCCTTGAGTTAAACCATTGACTGGGAAGATGAGAAACTGAGAGATTGCAAGTGGAAATGAGCATGACCAACGGATGCCGGGCAATATCTTGGCATGAGTGAACTACTTTCAGTCGTTCAGGATCACTGGGTATAAAGGGAAAGTCTGGAAGCACAAGAAGTTCCCAAAGAGCTGGAGAGATAAGCAGGAGCCAGTGTAAAGATGATTTTATCCAAGCTAATAGACTTGTATATTATTTTGCAAAAGATATAACCCATTGTAGGGATATAATATGATCAACTCACATTTATGTTGGAATTTTAATAATAATAGCTTGTATGGGAAATTTCTTTGCTTATAACCCCTCGTACTACAATATTTGAGGGTAATCCAGAAAATAAGGCTATAATGGCAAGAGTTGAATCAAGCGGTATATGTTTACAGTGAGTAATTGCTGGAATATAGCTACTTGCTAGAAATCTGTGGATAGTACTGACCTGTACTCAGACTGTGTATTCATGAACTGTTATATTTAAATCCCTTTGGAGAAAAGAGTTCTTTGAACAATTACTGCTTGACAGGACATTTTGATAAGCTATAATGATCTTACTTCTGGCAGTAACACATATAAGAGTTCCTTCTATTTTCAGTTACCTTCATATCCAAGTTCTTAGAAACAGTTTCTAGGGCAGACAAGAGCTCTTGAATTGTTTTTTCAACTCGCCGATGTTCATGCCTGATGAAGTGAATGTCTCCAGAAAGCTTCACAATGCTGGAATCACATCTAGTGACAAGATGGAAACTGGTTGTGAGGCAATAGGTTCACAGTATTTTTTTAATTTTTTTTAAATTTTTTTAAAGATTTATTTATTTATGCATACAAGAGCTGGGGTACAGGCCAGAGATGTGGGGGGGTGAGAGGCATCACCAGAGACAGAGGAATGGGAAACAGAACAGGCAGATTGATAGAAGCACACTGTTGAGGGGAGCAGCAGCCGAGACAGGAGAGGTCTGCCTCATCATGTGGGTTTCTCTCTGGCCCACAGAGTATCCGACTAGTGCTGCAGAGGCTGCAGATTACTTCATAGTGTAACAAGTTAGCCCCTTGTGCCACCAGGGAGGTCCAGTTCACAGTATTTTAATACTGTAGCCAGATCACCTCCACTTTGCAACAAAAAAATCTACCCTAGAGTAAAAATGTAGGAATAAGCAGAATTCAACTCTTACCATCCATTTGCTTTCCCTCTTTAAGATTAACAGTTAACTCACTGAGGTGTTCTCCCTCCCCGCTCCTGGTGATTAACCATTAACTGATTCCACCTGCACCCCCAGGAACATGGAAAATTGATTGTGTTACATCCTTAGTAAAATTCTCTCTGTCCATTTGAGGTTGATTGTGGTATCAGAAACAAACATCTGAGGAAATGTAACAGGGTGGTCCCCAGGAAATGGGGAGGTTCAGGTTCTCAGCCCCACCCAAGGGAGGGTGGAGCTGAGCAAGGAGGAGAAGAAACTGGAGAGGAGACTGAAGTGGGAAGGAAGCAGGATGGAGAGCAAGAAGGAGACCTGGAGGAGGCATGTAGAGCAGAGAGACACATGAAGAAACTGTGCTTGCTTCTTGGTCCTGGGCTGGTTGGAACAGATGTGGGTGAGAGATCCATGTGGAGGTTAACGTTGGCGGCTTTTATCTTGATTTTGATTTTGCTCTTTCCTTCTAGACTTAGAGTCGGACTGTTTTTGACCCTTCTTTATGGTTCTCCGCCGGAAAGTGCTTTTAGACTTGTGCAGACTTTCAGGTCTTGCTTTGGGCCAATCCCACTTGGGTGGACAGTTACCCACAAGGGGATGGGTTAACTCTGGGTGCTTGATTTAAAAACTATATTCTTTGTCTTTTCTGTATTACACACTAATTGTATTAAACTTCCTTTTCATTTAAGGTCTACATGTTTTGTCTTAATGCAGTGGATGGCAGAACCCAAACCTATACGGGTTTTTGGGGTAACAGGGCGCCCCTCTCCCACATCTGTAACAGAAACATCTTGCTGAGGGAAGTCAGGCACCTTCACTCATGTCACCTAGACTGCTGGGCACCTCCTTGGGCCTGGAAATATGAAGCCTTGCACTTCCCTGATGTTCCTTCACTCCTTATATAATCCTAACACACCCACATTTCAGGGAGTTGGTTTTTGGGGGCGACTACTCTGCCCATACCTTGACTGCCATCTTAAATAAGACTCCTTCACATAAATACAATTTTTGAGATTCAAAATTTGACTTTTTGTGGGTAAGCAAAAGATTAGGTTTGATTGCATATAATCCAACAGTATTAAATATTACAGGGTCTGTATATTAATTTGATGGCAAAAAATTCTAAAGTTGTTTGCTAGTGAGTTAGTAGATATAGCAGCAGCTAAAGGAATGCCCTAGTTCATTTTCATCTCTTCCTGGTGGGACAGAACCCAGACTGAACAATGAAACATTGACTAAAAGCAGGATGAGTTGGAATAATTGAGACGAAGACATTGGAATAAATTGGGGAAAATTTTAGATTTTCAGCCTGATATATTAATTTAGTCTTAGGATTCTCACAGATTTTGATGTTTTGGGAATATTTCCTACTGCCTATGGTTATGTAAATTGAAAAATGTTCCTTTTCTATATTAAATTCTGAATCCAATTTCCTTCTTTTAGCCTTTTTCCTTGGTCCCACATTATTAATACCCTTCAGTCTAGAAAAAGTGTCCCAGCCCTCTGGAGTCATCTTCAAAAAAGCAATTTCCCTCCTCTCAGCCTCTATCAAATCACCTACTCCTTGAGTTGTCTCAGTGGTTTTTTTGTTTTGTTTTGTTTTGTTTTTAATTTATTTTTGTTTTCTTACATCATTGTTCATTTTTGTGCAATATAAGATTTATCCTTCAGGCAGGAGAAGTATAGGATCTCAATGTTTTTAGGAGAAAAACAATTCACAGTAACTTCTAAATGAAGCTTTGACTCATAAGGTTGCATGTGGTAATCTAAGGAACTCTAGTAAAATGGGGTTAGAGTTGAAGATTAACCTTCTTGGGGCCTCCCTGGTGGTGCAAGGGGTTAAGCTCTCTGCAGCCTCTGCAGCATGAGTTTGATCCCCAGCCTTCCAGGGAGCAACCTACATGGCACAACAGACCTCTCCTGACTTGCCCGCTGCTCCCCTCAGCAGTATCCTTCGGTTAGTCTGCCTGTTCTGTTCCCCACTCTGTCTTTGGTGAATCCTCTCACCTCCCACACCTCTGGCCTGTACCCCAGTTCTTGTATAAATAAATAAATAAATCTTAAAAAAACTAAATAAAAAAAAAAGTTTAACCTTCTTCTTAGCTTGTCATGGAAGCCCACCCCACTCTCATCAAATATGGCCTCTTTCTGGAGAGGAAAGTTTACAAATACTGTATACTGTATTGATGCATAGCTTCAATACACTCATACATGCAAGTGTAGTGTACCGAAGGGCTGTGTCTTTTGTATCTACAATATCAAAGTTTGTCATTTAATGAAATAACTTGTCATCAGTAGTATTTATTAGGAACCACATTTTCATGTTGTCATGCTAAGTGTTATCAATATTGTTTGTTTCATGTCTATCAACATTTTTTAGGATCCAGAATGAATTTCTTTTTTCAGGTTTGTGGTGCCAAATTTGAGCCAAAGGTGGGTTAGTAGGGTCATTTTGCCTGAGCAATCCCTTGAAGGGGTACTAGTAACTGTTGTAGGGGAGTTGAGGGATGCAGAGAGAGAAAAACTTAGGAATTGATCTGATCAAAAATGGGAGCTGGATGGTATGCAGTAAAAGCCATTTCTCACATTTGTATATATAAACTATTATTATTAGAACAACCTGTTATTGGTCAGTACATAGGAGTGGTTACTGCTATCACCACTCCCTGCCACCTTTCCCTCTAGTCCCCACCCTGCCCCTTATTCAGGGACTACTGGCTTGGGCAGTGTAGGCTAATGGTTAAGAATTTGATCTCTGGGCCTCCCCTGGTGGCGCAGCGGTTGAGTTGATGCCCCAGCCAGATAATACACTGGCAAGCAGTGAAGGTAAAGGGCCTCACCCCATGGGGCCGAAGGTAAAAGCACTGGACTGCGAAGCTGCCTGCAGCCTCTGCAGTGCTGGTTCGATCCCCGCCTGCCAGCAAGGATCCCACATGGCGCGACAGACCTCTCCTGCCGCCCGCTGCTCCCCTCAGCAGTGTATTTCATCGGCTTGCCTGTTCTGTTCACCACCTCTGGTGAATTCTCTCACCCTCCTGCTCTTCTGACTGTACCCAGTGCGTGGGAGGGTGAGAAAATTCACCAGAGTCAGAGCGGGGAACTGGCAGACTGACGAAATACACCGCTGAGGGGAGCAGCCGGCGGCAGGAGAGGTCTCGCCATGTGGGACCCTCGCGGGAGGCTGGGGATCAAACAGGCGCTGCAGAGGCTGCAGGCAGCTCCGCAGCCCAGCACCCAACCACTGTGCCACCAGGGGAGGCCCTTTATTTAATTTTTTAAATAAAGATTTTCTATCCTTGATGTTCAGTAATTTAAGCCAGGATATCTTGGTTTCATTTTTCTCATATAAATTTTTCTGGGGTCACAGTTTTCCCTTTTGATTCAAATAAGTTTCTAGAAACTTATTCTCATATACATTTATTTTCTTAAGAATTCGTTCTGTTTCTTCTTCAGGAAAACCTATTAAGTCTATATTAGGTCTATGCTGAATGAGTTTTATTTGTCTCCAATATATAATTTCTGTTTGATATTATTCCACTCATCTCTTGGTTTCATTTAAACCTCTTTGTTATTTTGACTTATATTAAGATAAGGTTTACAGGAATAAAATAATAGGTTTATAAATGGTTTGCAGGAAGAAAAATGGTTGTAGTTTCAGCAGCATACCACCAAATTGAATAAAATGCCAATTTGCATTCAAAACAGATGTTTGGTGTTTATTTTCTTTGTGAAATTATATTATACAGAGCAATATTATACCTAAAGCATATCTAAGAAGGGGGTAAGAGTTATTAGTGTTTATTTTATTAACTTCATAACTTACCCAGATATTGGAAATATTCTTTTGTATGTAGGACATACACTAATAATATAAAATTTTTTATAAGTATGAATATATATTCATAAATAATATAAATAATGTATATTTGTATGTGTATGTACAACTGAACACACTTAAGAAGTAATCCTATAGATTTGATTTTCGTAATTTTTGCGTTGTTTGTTACCTTCTCTGATTCTCATAGATAATGCTCAGTTTAGGCCTATGAGAGTCCTCACTGATTGCTGAAATTGACTTTCTTTCATCTCTATACCTTTTTTCTGTATCATACAATTTAGCTGCTATTAGAATGCCACTAAATATGAAATGTCACTCCTTTACTTAAACCTTCCCATGGCTACTTATAACCTAATAAAGTCCACAGCATCCCTCCAACTCTGGACCACTTCTCTAGCTTCATCTCCCAATTGCCCAATTCTCAGTAAATACAAACTTTTATATATCATAATTAAAATACCCTTCTCATTGGTAGGCCCTTGAATATGTCACCATAATTTATTCCTCATTTCTTTTGCACATTTTATTCCTTCTTTTTGAAATGCTCTCCTACATTTCTTGTTCAGCTATCTGCTACATATCATTCATAACTCATCTCAAATGTCACCTCCTCCAGGAAGCCTTCCCTATGTCCAAAACTGATTTGGATATTCCCATAGCACCCCAGACTTTCATTTACAGTGTTCATCTCATTGTTTATATTTGGAGTTTGTTTTCTCAAGTAGAATGAACAGCAATAGGCAGGAGTATGTATTTCCGAGTATGTGTGATTCTACGTACCACACTGCTGGTGTATGGTAAGGACTTCATACATTTTTCTTGAATCAAATAGATGGCTACCCTCAGAGAAGTATGTCTTAAACATTTATCAAATGGAGATGGAGGTATTTCAGGAGAGAAGAAAGAAGGGCTGGCAGAAGAGGTAGTCATTCACAAGTCATCCTTGATGTGTCTACCTGAGTGGTTCTGCCATTGTCAATTTCTACAGATTTTTCTGAACTTTTACTAGTAATTCTTTTGATTTAGAAATCTCAAACAAAAGATGTTATTCAAAATTGCATCCATTTTACAGCAAGTCCATTTGTTAGACTTTTGGATGTAATTCATATACATCTTCAATTTTTTTAAAGATTTATTTATTTATTTATACAAGAAATGGGGTACAGGCCAGATTTGCGGAAGGGTAAGAGAATTCACCGGAGACAGAGCAGGGAGCAGAACAGGCAGACTGACAAAATATACTGCTGAGGGAAGCAGCTGGCACTGCAGGAGAGGTCTGCTGCACCATGTGGGACCATCGCCAGCCGGCCGGGATTGAACTGGCACTGCAGACACTGCGGACAGCTTCACAGTGCTGTGCTCAACCGCCTGAGCCACCAGGGGAGGCCCCATCTTAAATCTTTTCATCTTTAGACTTGGGTACCTCTGGGGATTGTATATTTGGTCATGAGGATGTTTGCTTGCAAGGGTATTGTCATTTGGACAGCTGAGGACTGTAAAGACAAGACTCTTGTTACTTGTGGATGGGACCAAATTGGACATTCCATGTAAGGGTACTTTCCTAGAAGTCTTGGATCTTATAGGTAGTATGGGGCGTTCAAATTCTATGATGCACTGTCTCAACTACCATTTCTTTACATTAGCTCAATGTAAAGATAGTATCTTGTTTTCTACAACATGAAACTTATTTGGAAAGGAGAATTCAGTGGCCCAGAAATGACTGCCAAATGACTTCTCACCTGGCTACTCTTCCCTGAAGATCTCCAACTCCTTGAGAGTGCTTGGTATTCAGTTCCTGTACTGCGTAGTTAGTTCCTGTGGCCACCTGGTCTCGAACTCTAATTTGGTCTTCTAAAATCTGTAATTTGAGTTAAATGCTCATTAATTTCTTCTTATATGTGATACAAGATCATCATTCAAAAGCATAGGCTAGAAAATGGAATATATTCCACAATAAGGCTGATATGTATCTGTTGAGAGTCCTGTACTGGCAACATGCATTACAAGCTTTCAGAGTGTTAAGTCCTGGAAATTCCACTTTTAAGAATATATGCTTTGGAAATAATAAAAATAAGGCATATTTATGCACACAGATATTTTAATAATAAAAAAATAAGCAGGTACAGTGTATTTCTATGTAAAGAATTTAAAATGACATATGAAAGAATTATGATATAATTTTATATTAAAGATTGTGCTTACAAATATAGTTTCAGCCTCCTTCTCAGCCTAGAAAGACTAGAGGGACATGAATCTGGGTGTTTGTAGGGGTCGCCATTTGGTGATGGAATTGTGAGAACTTTCTTTTCCAGATTTTAAAACTTTTCCCTCAACTTTCAAAATTATTACATTGAACATTGTAATTGCAGCCCTTGAAAAGTTGGGGGGAATACAACAAAGCAATATTATACCTAAAATTCTTTTTTCTTCAGTTAAAAATAAATTAATTTTAAGACTTGTCATTAGCTGCCAGCTTGAAACAATGTGATTTTTAAAAAGAACAGAGTCCAGAAAGATAGTGGCAGAGTGAAGATTCTGTGCCTCTTTCATACAAACATGTAAAACAAACTGATGTAAACCAAAAACAAAAAACCAAGAGGGAAAAACTGATTACCACCATACACAATAGGAGCATTAGCCTGATGGAAAGGGGTAGGAAAATCCTTAAGTGAACTTAGTTTAGAGTGATAATGGGGCAGCACAACTACAAGAGGGAGGTGTAGCTGTGGGACAGAGCCCCCTACAGCTACTGACTCAGCCGACTTTTGGGGTCCCGAGACTTGGCACTACACTGGATAAAGGCGTGCGTGTGCAGGCACCCAGGTCAGGGCTTGTGTTGCTGAAGAGCTGCAGAGTTCTGGACACGGAGCAAAGATTACTGACTTGAATCTGAGACTCATAACAGAGCAGATAATAACTTGCACTGAGTTGGAGCACCCAAACTTCCCTGTAGAAGAGTCTGTTGAAGATTTCCAAATACCTGCCACTCCCCCAACAAAAAAAAAATGCTTCACAACAGGAAGTTCATATTCCTGAGTTTTACTGGATTTGATCCTTTGATGCCTACTGCCTCATTCTTTTTTAATGCTACTACCAGTCTCATTTCCCCAATTATGCCAACAAGCGTAAAAACAACAGTTGAAAATCTAACCTTACTAAAATCTATACAAAATTGAAAATGAGGAGATAGAAGAACACAACACAAATCCCAGAACAATGAATTTCAAAACAAAGTCCAACCTTCTGTTGAGGAGACCTTACCAACAAAGAACAAAAATAGACAGAGTTGGGAGACATTTATAAAACAAATTGCAATAACATCAGCAGATACCCATATATGCCAAGCTCACTCAAAACAAAAGTTTTTATACTTTATAGTTTCTGGAAATGTTTTGGCTTTGTCTTTTTCCGAAGTTAATCTAGGAATTAAAATATGGAAGAATAAATTCTCAGCAAGTTTTCTAGAGCTCTGGGAAAAAAAATTCCCTTATTGCTGGGTATGTATTGGGAGTATAACTATTATGTATTAAATATACAAATCAAAGTATATATCTGGATGGATTGAAAAATAAAATCAAATATGTAACAACTACCCAGGTCAAAATATAGAACATTCTAGCAGTGTTTTGATATTTCTGAGAAAGCCAGAATAAATAGAAAGTGCAAACACCCTGAAGCCAGAGCATGTTTAGCATGTTCTAGGAAGAGTTTGGAGGCCAATGTGGCCCAAGCTATATTGAGGTCACATTGTGATGGGCCTGTGAGCCAGTGCTGCCAAGACATTATGAAAATCTCTATTTGAAATGATTACATTAACAGACTCTTGAAAATTTAGACTAAAATAAGCATTTAGGACATGTCTGATATAAAGTTAAACAATTACCTTTTATGTCACAAAATAGACATTTAATAAGCATTTTTTGAAAATAATTTCCTTCTCCATTTTGACATCAACAAGTGGTTGAAAAAATTAAGCCATTTTTCTCTTGGGCAACAAAGTATAATCATTTCAACCTAAATGATAGTGAGCCATTTCTATAGTTGAAACACTGGTGGTTTTAATCTCTTCAAACAGTGATGCCAACAGGGTTTGGAAAATAAAGAATTACCTCAATGTTTTGGCTGAGCTTCTTGACGATGCTGGTGATAGTCTGGATGTGGCTTTCCAGTAGCTTCCTGGCAAGTGACTCCTCCTTTCGAAAGCCTTGAGCTCCCTGAAGGCAAGCAGAGATGTCCTCCTTGATGCGGAAGGCTTGTTCAAGCAGGAAAGCTATGGTGCGCTCCTGGTTGTTCAGTCTGTCTTCTAGCTGACTTCTCTGAGTATTTGGAATAATAGGAAGAAAAGACTGGCCCCTGGTCAAGAGAAGGACACAAACACTGGGGGCATTACATGACTGAACTGGAGGAGTCAGATCCAGAGCTTGCACCCTCACTTCTGTTCCTGTTCTCTCTCCGTTTTGAATTGGGTAGGACTTTAAGCACATTCATGGTTAGAATCTTGGTTTATGTCCTAGGTTAAGCAGATCTGGCTTCTTATGCTTGGACCTTATATCATACATTTTTCATGTTTTCAGAGCAGGACTCTTCTGTGTATTTACCTACTACACTAACACGCGAAGTTGGGTGGCTTCTGGATCACATAAATTTAATACCCATAAATTAAATAGACGAGAAGGCTGCCTTCTAATAGTTGGAAGAAATGATAGCTCAAAGGCAAGATGTACAAAGACTCAGATGAAAAAAGCAAACAAAGTAAACTAGGAGAGAAAAAAGACAAAGTTAAGACCTATTTAGTATCAAGTCATTAGCCGTATTGGCGTTAGCATATCAGTCCTTCAACTAATAAACTTTTTGAAGGACAAGTTACTTTTATTATGTTCTTTTCTTTTTTCTTTGCTCACTTTTGTGTTCTATTCTCTGAAGTCATACATCATTAATTTTGGTTTAATATATTCATTAAAAGCAAGTCAGTGAGTTTAGTCTATACTCAAGGGGAGGAGAATTAGGCTCCACTTCTTAAAAATGAGACATTAAATAATTTAGGACTTTCTATATTTATATTTATTTTTTTTATTGTCTTACATCATTTTCATTTTTGTACAATATTTGATTTCTCCTCGCAGGTGTAGTCCCCATAATTCTTCCATCCCCACAGCATTCATGATCCATCACCATAGTTCCTTGTGCTCCTCACCTCTCCTTTATTTATTACAGGGCAGAGTGAGGGGCAACCCAGAATCCCAAAACCTGCTCTAAATAGGTTCCTGCCATCCACCGCATCCAGACAAAACATACTCTAGTGCAGAGTATGTTTCATTTCCTTTAATGAAAAAGAATTTAATGCAATTAGTGTGAAAAAAAAAAGAAGAGAAGGGAAAGCATAGAGAAAATGGTTTTCACATAGAGCACCCAAAATTACCCATCCCTTTGTGGTGAAATGCCCAGCCAAACTGGGCTGGCCCAAAGCAGGGGCAATGAGGCCCGAAAACTTGCTACAAGTTTAAGGTACCTTCTGGTGGGACCCATAGGAAAGGGGAAGAAGGGCCAGACAAGTCTGGAAGGAAAAGAACAAAATCAAAATTAACATAAAAGCTGCCAATGTTACCCCCATGGGTCTCTCACCCACATCTGTTTCAAGTGTCTCCTTCCAAGTTACCCAAGCCCCTGGTACAAGTCCAAGGCTGAGACACAAGCGCAGCTTTTTCACATCTCTCTGCTCCATGTGCTTCCTCCAGGTCCTCTCCTTGCTCTTCATCCTGCTTCCTTCCTTCTCCCAGTCTCCTTTCCAGCTTCTCCTCCTCCCTCCACCCTTCCTTGGGTGGGGCAGGAAACCTGAAACCTCCCCCTTCCCTTTGGACCCCTCTCCCTCCTTCCCTGCTGTTTGCCTCAGGTCCATGGTTTGCCTGCACCTTTTGTCTTTTTAACTTAGGACATTTGAGACCCACTACAATAGTGTCTAACTGGCTTCTGTCTCCTATTGTATCTTCCCTGTGGCTTCCCCACCTGTTGCCATGGAAAAGCTTGTGGAAAGCAAATCTGATGCTGCTCTGAGTTGGGACCTAGGGCCTGAGGAATGGTGGGGGCTTCTGTGGGGCTGAAAGGACAGACTTTGAAACCATAGGCAATATAGGAAATATAGCCTCCCCAATGCCCAGGGTTCTGGTCTCTGCATAGCCCTTGGTGAGTCTCCTTCAACACAGCCCACCTCTACTCGGCTGTTGGTGACTTTTGAAGGGCCTACTCAGCTTCAGTCTGCTGAGAAGATGGAAGCTCCAGCGAGTGAGAGACGAGAGACAATGGGCAGAGGAGACACAGAGGACAGCTCCTGTGAGACTGAGTACAGAAAGAAAATGAGTTACACAGCTCCTCAGGAGTTCCTGTGCTCACTGGGGTTCTGACCATAAGGTTGAACAAGAAGGATTACCGATTTTCATCCTCCCTTCCTCCTAAAAAAATAGAGAATCTAGAGAGAGAAAACTGTGAAAAACCCCCAGGGCAGTATGAGCTTTTCAAACTGGCAAATGTGTGGGCTGATGTAGTGAGTGCTGTGTTGTGATACCCAATTCTCTCTTCACATGAAGAAGGATTTATTTCCCATGGCTAACAGATCTGCAAGCAGACAGATCTCAATTTCTATTCTTTGGTAGTACCTGGGTGGAGTCACCTTGCCTAAGGTCATGCTTATTTCCTGGAGCAGCTCCAGTTTGGTGTGGTCAGAGTGTGGGTATGAAGGCCTGACCCACTTGCTCTATGCCAAAATAACTTTGAAGGACCTTCTGAGCTTAGAGCACTGTGTGTGGCGGTGAGCTGAAGCTGTTGGTATTGCATCACAATACCCAATTTTCCTTTTTTTTTCTGCTGCCATATTGTTTCCTCTCCTCTTCCACAGATGTTGATCCCAAAGTACTCCACAATAAACCTTCTGTTCAGCAGTCTCAGACTCAGAGCCTGTTTCCTGGGTAACCAACCTGAGTCAGAGGCGGCTTGGCTGGTCAAGAGAGAGCTCAGCTTGGCTGTAGGCGGATCATTGTATTT